GCGCCGCGCCTCGCCGTCATTTTCTCCTGACAGGGCGAACCGGCTCGGTCTGTCGCGTATTGTTCTCGAAGAACAATGGCCGCGTGCACGGGCAGGAGTCTAGGTGCTGAGGTAGGGGGAAGTTGAGGAGGGTTCCGCTTCTCGGATGATGAGCGAGGTCAGCGCACGATGTGATTGCTCTGGGCACTCGCTGCTATGTAAAAAGTGCTTTATTTCGGCAAATACATACTTTCAGGGCTTTACGCACATGCCGTCAAAGCCAGCGTCAGAGATTTAATTTGCTTACACTATGCGATAACACTCTCCAGGTGCAACTCACTGAACTCCTTAAGCATTTAAGTAGGTACTTAGTTGTGTGCCATGGCATCAAATGTCTTTCTCTATCTACAAGTGTAGTTTTGTATCTCGTTAAAAATCCTACAAATTCGCTATTTTTATTCATATTCAGTTAAATTTCAAAGTGCATTAGGAAGTGAAATAGGTGTGGCAAAAGAAATCCACTGTTTATCTCTCAGAATGATCAAAACTGGTGTCACCTCTACAAATGTCAAAACAATGTTTTTGCGGTTTTTTGAAGATCTTTGTTGAACAAACTACATAGGGCTTTCAAGAAGCCGTGTAACCCATCTTTCATCCACAACTTTTAAAAATAAACTGAATAAATTCTGAACACTGGTGGATGTTATAGGCAAGGAGACTACCTGATGCCAGATTGCTGAGGTGAGAAAACACTGTTTTTTTCAGTAATTTTCTGCAGTTACCCATATGCTACTTATATACTTTTGCCACATAGAGCTTGAACTGAGTTTCAAATGTTTATCATATCAAAACATACTTTTATAAGTCATTTTTTCAAAAGAAAATAAAAACAGCAAACAAATCTCAATGCAGGCACTAGTAAAACAAACCCACTTCCAAACAAATTTGCTAGACATTTTTTTTTCTGCTTTCAACAGAAATTACTCATTACTTCCTTTAACAGGTTACATTCTTTCAAATACATTAAGTTTGCTTCAGCATCAAGGGAAGTTATTTTGCTCTGCTTGCTCATGATGCCATTGATGCTGTATATTTGAGGAGTAGCTGTTAAAATATGTATTTTTTCAATAATAAAAAACACATAGCAAAGGTGCAGAGATTTCTCTTACTCGGGATTGCAAGATGTGTCCTGTGTAGCAGCAAACTCAAGCCTTTTTTCATTAGTGAATGTACCGGGAAAATTCATAATTTTGTTCAGATCATCCTGATGCTTAAGTCTCTAATGCAAAATCAGCTGTTCTGTGAATAAGTGAATTATTTAACCAGGTATCCAGGTTTACAGAGTCACTGATGATCAGAATGAAGTTTTTCCCAGCCAACTTGTGTTCTTTTGGGATTCTGTTCAGCAAAAAGGCCCAGCTGAGGCATAGTATATTAACAGCACCAACTTTAGAAACTTGGGGTTTTTTTTAATCTAGATAGTTCACACAAAAACATTGCAACTACATTAGCAGCTGAAAGTCTTTTAATTTCTGGAGTTTCATCACAATTAGAGAAAACTGATAGCTGCATAAATGGTCTGTTAGTTCCTTTGGACAGCAGTCAGGTGCTTCAGGAAGCTACTGCTTTGTCAGCTCTTACTACTTGCAGGATGTGTATGACTTGGGTGCATTTTTTTGAAGGCAGGCAGACACCTTGAATTACAGAATTGAAGAGAGCCTTTAACACATGAAGGAGCTTGGCCACAAAATTTGCTTCTTATATATCCTAGAACTCCATCATCATTGTCTGTATTTTTTATACTTTAACATTAGTAGCTGTTTTATGTGCTCTGGAACTTCTTTCTCTTTACTACCTACTGCAGTAACTAGTTATTTGCATCTTCAAATCTTAACGTTCTCACCACTATCACTTCATCTTTTTTACCTTGAAGTATTTATGCCCTTCATCGAATGTCTCTGGCAACTTCCTTTTATGACCCATCCTTGCAAGTCAGCATCTTTTTTTAATGTTGCTGAAGTTACACCCATGCCTGACATTGTGCAATCCTATATTGGCAGATTTCACAATACAGCAGAGGAAGACGTTCAAGTCAAGATACTAAGAACATAACTGGCAGAAGAACTTCAAGTAGGTGTTTTCATTTACAGCTATTATTTATTTTTGACTGGGTTACTCTATTGTTTGAGGATGCTTTTTTTGTAAAGGTAATTTTTTAAAAATGTATCCATTCAAATAAGTTATTAAGACTACAGTTAGGTAAGTTATTCTCATAGCAGTTATTTCTCAGAAGATGATTTTCATTACTCATAGCATGCTGACAGCATTTCTGGCTCTGTGTGGAGACAATTGTAATATGTATCATCAGATATTATGCCTCTGGGCTTTAGGGGTACAGTAGACTTCCTCCCCCACCATCTTTTATACTTATTTCTAGTCTTTACTGGTTAGTCATCCAAGTGATCTGTCTAGTTGGCTATTCATTTGCATCAAGCCATATCCAAGTCCATTGGAAAGCCAGAATTTTTCCTACATGAGACTAATAGGAACTTTAGGGTGGATTTTCTTTTCTCAGCAGCAGGAAGTATGGTTTACAAGTTAGAAATATTTGGGCATGTCTCAGGTTTCCTGCCACTGAGGCCTCTTGGTCTCTTTTCCTGTGAGAGAGCAGACCAGGTAGGGCTGCTTGATGAGGTGAGTTGAGCCAGGAGCCAAGGGTAGCAGCAGTGAAGGCAGTGTCCTCTCTGGCAGAGCACAGTCCTGTAGCACTTGAGCAGGGTGGGCAAAGCAAGATGCCAGTAACAGTACCTATTAGCAGTCCCTGATACAGCAAGAAGATGAAGTAGGTCCAGGGTCTATCCCAGGAGTCCAGTCAGAAACAGCAGGAGATAGAGCCTAAGACAGGACTGGAGACAGGCTTAAAAATAAGCTATGTACCATGCAGGTTCAAGCAAGAAAAAAAGACCAGAGGCAGGATCAGAGACAAGCATACCTGCAGGATAGCTCAGACAAGAAGTGGGTGTCCAGGCCTGAGCTTAAGCAGAGTTCCTGAGCCAATAGGGAGTGGGGTGGGTGGAGGCCCCAGGTGAGGCTGGTCTGGGCCATTAACGTCACTCAGGACCCTGACAATCCCTACCTGTAGCATGAAGATACGGTCTTTAAGGGACTGAAATACTGGATTGTCCTAAGTCATTGAGCTTGCAAATATAATGGTACCAAATTTCTCTGCGTAAGCTGTCACTTTCCTTTCTTTCAGGGGCAGGGAGGAGGTGTACACTTCTGGCCCTCTGCTATCACATGATGAGCCTACTGCACAAACGCAGCAGACTTGAAACATCCAAAAATGCCAGGTTGGTGCATAAAAAATTAGCCGATGTCTTCACAAGTGTGCTGTTTTTACTGCCAGAGTGTCTGTGCTTACTGACATAGCACAGACATAGCACAGTCAATCTGCATTCATGCATTACGTTCTTCATGTACAAGCATGCAGCGAACAAAGGGCCCCATTTTCCCAAGAAAAATGGAAAATGGGAGCAAACTACTGCCGCAGTGAGGGCTTACAGCCTACTGTTAAATTGTCCTTTTGAAAGGGTGATGGCATCTGGGCCATGGCTGGAAAACTGTTTGGTAGGCTGCATGTAATCTCTAGGCCACAGGTCAAGAACATCTGACAAAAATACTTAGATTAAATACAATGGATTTGTATCGTGTTAGGAGTCAGGAGATGATTTCATAGTTCTTTCTGGCCTTAGTTCTCCTAAAATAGTGTTAACACTTAAACTATCCATGTTCAGTATGCTTACAAACATTAACTTATTTTCAGTGCCAATCAGGCAGGTAGATATTATCTAAAGAACCAGAGCCAAGAAAGACTGCATGAGGAAGTCGTTGTTAAAACCGCAATTAGAATTCAAGAGTTTCTGCATAAAAATCATATTATTCAAGACTTGTATCTTTCACATACTGCCAACTCACAATTCTGTGGGTGATTTATCTGATTATCTGTACTACAGATACAAAGACATTAGTGATTAGCTTGAATTCAGCTGGGTTCACAGGCACAACACCACACAAATGCAGTGTCAAGCTTCCACGTCTGGTCAGGGAGCAGGCTGGTCTGTTTGGCTCTCTGCAGTCTAATAAATGTGAGGAAGGCTTTGCAAGGTAGATGCTTTAATCTGTGCTTTGTAATCACAGGAGGAGACAGCTCCAGTGTCTCAGGATCATATTTTGGTTATGGGTGCCTGGCAGGCCTAGCATTAAGATAGGCAAGCTTAGATCCAATGTTCTCCCTACAGAAAAAAATGGGTGTCTTTGCAGTGTAAAGTGGGGCTTTTGGTTTCTGGAGGGCTTATTTCAGGTTCAGCATCCGTGACGTCTAATGTCATACCTCAGTAAACCTTCCCTAGCCTGGATTGATGAGCTGAGGACGTGCCTACTGCAAAGATCTAATGCAGATGACTTGGCAGGAGTCTATTTAGTGCCAACATATCTGAATAGTTCTGTTCTCATTGTCAGGCCCCTGAGGGCACTAATATGCCTCAATGGCCCTGACCGGCCTCACCTGGAGCCTCCACCCACATCTTCTGCCTGTGAGCCCTGGAGCTCTGTTTAAGCTCAGTCCTGGGCCTTTGGTCTCTGCCTGAGCTGTGTTGTAAGAGTATTGGTCTTCGGCTTGTAGATGTGCCTGGCTACGAAGCCTATTGATGTAAACGCTCTGCTCAGCTCTGTCAGCATGGAGCTACCTAGCTATTGCTATCTGATTCCAGCTCTCACAAGTCCTGCTCTTGACCCCGACCCTTGGGATTAACCTTGTGGGTTGGTTTCCTGGCTTGATTTTAGGCTTGGCTCACCACAAGGAACTTGTCTAATGAGCTAGACTCCTGGTTGAGCCTAGCCACTATCCTTAGACCAGCCCTGCTTGCCTTGATTAGGTACTGTGGGGCTGGGACCTGGCTGGTGAGGTGCCTGCTCTGCCATGGTGTTGTGCTCAGCTCCCCATCCCTCAAGGAGCAGCTAACCCTCATGCTCCCTGATACTCAGCACCAACTGGGTTGTATTGGAGCTGTCTACTATGTGGAACTGCTTATGTGTTTGTGCACTGTACTCCTTAGTACTACACTGTCTAATTTTATTCATTCTGCAGGTCTTTGCAGGCTCCACTTTCTTCTGGATAAAAGCATAAGAACAGTAGTACTATGTCAGACCAAATGTCCACAAGCTTAAAACTCTATCTCTGACAGGAGCCAGCAGCACACCCATACAAAAGAGCGCTGGAGTAGAATACAGGATTATTTCCCCAGTGTACTCTTCCAGTAATCTGCAGCTACAATGATACTTTTGTGTCAAGTAGCTCTTGAGTAACTTTCTTGAATGATTTATCTAAACTTTTAACATGTAAAGTTTTTGGGCATCCATAATGTGCTGCAGCAGAGGGTTCCACAGTTTAACAATGCATTGCATGAAAAAGTAGCCCTCTTCTGTTTTGATGTCCCTTTGGTAATTTGGCTTGATGCCTTCTACTTCTATTGAGAAACAGTGAATAATTAGTGTCTGTTAACACCTTCTGTGCCAGTCTTGACTTTGTAATATTAGTTGGCATTCCCCCCAAGATAGCCTTTTTTCCAGAGTGAAGCATCTTAGTGAACTTGCTTGATTTAGTACCTTTAACCACTCCTACTGTCCTTCTCTGTACCTTTTTAGATTCTACTTTCTCCATTACAAGTTATGGAGACCAGAACTGCACATAATATTCAAGATGTAAACAAATGATCTGGAGTAAATGATGACGGCATAGTGATGTTTTCTGTTTTATTCTCCCCTCCTTTGTTAATAGTTCCTAAAAGCCTACTGAGGGCACAGAGAACCGTTTAACGGAAGTATTTGTCGTAGTACCAAGATCTATATTCTGTGTGCTAGTAGCTAGTGCAGAGGCCGTGATTTCCATGTTTTACCCTTGTGCTTCACTTTGCATTTGGTAAGAGAATTTCATGCACCATTTTATTGCTCAGTCAGTCATTACTGTGAGATCCCTCTACAAACCTTTACACTCAGCTCTAGTTTTACTAGCGTGAGTATCTTAGCGCTATCAGGAAAGACTGTCACCTTATACTTCTCACCTTCTAGACTGCTTATGACTATTGAAAAAAGCGCATATGCCTGGGGTTGACTCCACTGATCTTCCTTTACTGTGAAAATGACCAGCAGTTAATTCTTGTTTGTTTCCTAGCTTTTAGTATAGTTATTAATGATTATGCAATAATTGTGCATGCTGTTGTCTGGGTGCTCCTGTTACATTGTTTGTTCTAAACAAGCCTTAGCCCTCCTGCTTGCTGCTTTCCTCCAAGTTATTAGTTTCTCATTCTGCGTTTTGTTCAAGACTGCAATTTCCAATATGTTCCCGTTTTCCCAAGAAACATACTCTTATCTTAGGGCAGACTATATCACCAAGTTCCAGTTCCCTTCTACCCATTCATACTGTGCACAACACTCTGGAAGAGCAATACTTCTTTTACTTCTCAAATCATCTATTATTTTATCTTACATAAATAATCTGTGGTACCCCTTGTTTTAACAGTGCAGGTCTTTGAAATGGCAGAAGTCTTGGGGATTATTCCCCCCCCCCAGCAATCTTTCCAGCAAACTGTCAGAATGAGGAGGAGATGGTATGGTTACTCCCACAAAACAGAACCCATCTGTGTGCATTGTCAAAATAATTCACTGCCGTTGAAAGTTTATCAGGCAAATATTCAAAATTCAAGTGTATGTGCTGCTTGGTTCACCTTCTTACAGCTGAAAAGTGTCTGTGAGCTTGGCTAAGGTTCCTAAATTAAATTCTTCTTTGACTGTAAGGAAATTAAGAGAAAGAGAAGAGAGGATGAGGATACAAATTTGGTGATGGGGTAGCTAACAGTACACTGTGCAGGTCTGTGCCACTGCCTCTCCTTTCTCACATGTGAATTAGAAGAGCAAAACACTATAATGTAAAACATGGGAATGGGCATGGACAGTACTGCTTCTCTCACGTGTTAGAAAAGCCTCTCTGAAGACTCATATTTGAATGGTTTGGTTCACATATTAGGTTTCTTACAGTGTAACAACTAGAGACTAAATAATAATTAAAGATTCTGATAAACTTTTTTTTGTTAAAAGTGCTGCTAGGTTATATGATGTCATAGATCCCATTTCCAACATCTGTTTTCCAGTCTGAAGTGACATGAGAATTAGTGGCCTGTTTTCCACTTTGACAAAATGCTGTAGTGATAATGAATCATGTAAGAAGGTTGGACCAACTTTTCCTCTTATTATGATATTTTGCTCACCCATTTCCCTCCGGGAAGGAGCAGAAAATATTAGTAGCAGCTTTTAATGGATGAGGGTGGGGGATGGGGAGAGCAACCCTTATTTTTCTCTTTGCAGGAGGGAGAGGGGAGGCTCGGCAGCTCTTCTGCCTCTAATTAGCATTTCCGCAGATTCCTTAGCACATTTGTTTCGCCTCCACTGGATGGCCAGAGCGCTCTCCCTCTTCCTACCCATGAGCGCCGCAGGGTGGGGGCATCTCCAGGGTGTCCGTGCTCCCGGGGGCAGTGCGGATGAAGGTCTGTGTTTAAGGGACGTGGGCGCACTCTCTCCTCCTTAGTCGCAAATGTAACAAAAGGGGAGCTTTAGCCCTCCACGCGCCTACAGAAACCACCCAGCAAACCAGTCACCCTACCACCGCTAGCGCTTACCAGCTTTTCACTCCTCTAGTCTAAAAAAAGGAATGATTTCACAGGGTGTCACCTCCGTTGCTAGTTGCAAGACATGTAGCTTAAAACCACAACCTCCAGTAGGAACAGAATAATTTGCCTCTTTTATTATTTTGTAATAATTTCCAGCATTAACAGGCTTGCACGCTGACTGCAGCTCTCGGGGGACAGCCGAGGAGGCGGGCCGGGGAGATCCCCGCGGCTCTTCGTCCTCTCTTTCCCGGCGATTCGGGCAGGAGC